TTCACAATTCCAAAACACTGCTAACTTCACAATCCCAGTACACTGTCTCCCTTCACAATCCCAGCACACTGCTAACTTCACAATCCCAGTACACTGTCTCCCTTCACAATCCCAGCACACTGCCAACTTCACAATCCCAGTACACTGTCTCCCTTCACAATCCCAGCACACTGTCCCCCTTCACAATCCCAGCACACTGTCTCCCTTCACAATCCCAGTGCTTTGTCGTATCTGCAATTTGACTGGAGGTGTTTCAATACCGGCCAGAGATTACAATCCGCCTTTGCCGTGTGTAAACAGCCTGAGGGATCTGACATCATTCTACAGAATATTACTTGTGTAAGCAGCCTGTTAATTGTGAGTTTGTGATTTACTCAATGACCTAGTTTTTCTGTTTTCTTGACAACACCGCATGAGATAGGACCTCAGGGATATGACATGCACGCTGTATTACCAGGATACTTTTCATAGTAAATTACACAACAGCAACTAGGGAATCACTCTCTAAATACTCCCTATAAGGTCCACTGGGTAAAGACGCCATTCCCTTGTATGAAAACCACACAGAGTAGGGGGCGGTGTTGCCAGGCAGCAGTCTGGATTTGCAATTAAAGAAATGGAATAAGACCATGAAAAACTCAGCAGGTCAGGCAGCATCTGTGGAGAGAGAAACAGTTCTGATATAAAAAAGTTACTGACCTCAGTGTTTACTCTGTTTCTGTTGAGAGAACAGGTTTCTCGACCTGCTGAGTCTTTCTAGCATTCTATTTTTTTTATTATTTCAGAAGCAGCAGCATTTTGAGTTTTTTTTAAGATCCCGGTTGAATTTTATTGCTCATCACCAGTTTCACAGAGGTGTGGTTAAAGCTGACCTCCCCTCACTGATGTCATCTACCGGAACTGTCATCTACTTGAGCTTCTATAAGCCTCAACTTTTCAGGCAAGAAGTAGGGAGGGAGATATACAGGCAAGGTCTCTGCTACAACATGTGGACAACCAGCAAAGGACATCTTCCCTTCTCACTCATATTGAAAAAAACACCACTTGAACTTTCAGAAACTGCACATTCTGGAAAAGCTCTGCAGGTCCGACAGCATCTGTGGAGAGAGAACCAAAGTTAACGGTCTTTCTACTGAAGTTAAATGGGGCTCCATTTAGTTATTGGATGCCCCCAGTGCCTCTAATGCATGTAGATATAATCTTGCACAAGTAAGAGATGCCTTTGGTTTGTTTGTTGGTTAGAGTCAAACTCCAATGTTTGTTTGATTTCTTCATATGCTACTGTACAGAACCGAACTGCTTTAAGGACTATGTATGTATATATAACATTTTTATGAATAAAGTTTAGAAATTTTAAAAAAAATTGAATTTAAAAGAACACATTTTTTGGAACTGAAGAGGGGTGGGAAAATGATGGGCTTTATTCTGCTGAAAAGAGCTAGCAGAAGCAAACAGGGAAGTTAGGGAAAGACTCGAGGGTGAGGGAGATTGGAGATCGAAATTCTCATCGAACAAAAAGCAAAAGGAGTGGAAATGGCAGTAGAGAGGATGTTCAAGAGTAGCTGTTAAATGGCAGAATAATGGTTAGCTTTTTAAAATAATTCATTCATGGCATTGTGGGTATCACTGGCATTTACTGCCCAAGCCCAATTGCCCTGGAGATTGGCACAGACACAATGGGCCGAAAGGCCTGTTTCTATGCTGTATGCCTCTATGACCCTTCTTTCCATGCAATAAAATTACCATGTCTCCAAAGTATTGGTGAGTTACCTTCTTGGGTGGGGGAGAGATACATCTGTGGTTCCATTAGGGAGGGAGGGTCAGTGAAAGAACGGTGCCAAGTCAGGATGGGGGTAAGGAATTTGCAGGCAATTGTGATTCCATGTATCTGTTGCCCTTGTTCTTCTAGCTGACAGAGGGCCTGGGTATGGAAGCAGCTGGCACAGGAGCCTTGGTCATTTACTGTAGTGCATCCTGTAGATGGTGCACATTGTGTGCTGTGACAGATGGATTTCATCTTCAGTCTCATAACTGAAGGTAGGTGAGGGCACGGAGAACTGATGACACCTTGTATAGACTCATGACAGTCAAAGGTTCGTATGGCACAGAGGGAGTCCATTTGTCCTATTGTGCCTTTATTGGCTCTGTGAAAAGATTTCCAATTCATTCGACTTGCCCTGCTGTTTCTCCACAGCTCTGCAAATTTTAACTTTACATGCCTCGTTCAGATTTCAAAAGCATATAAAACAAAAGGACGGGCATTAGTTTCCCTTCTGATTTCAATAAGGAAAAAGAGAGAAACTGCGTTTGAAATTGTAGTGACCGTAACGAGGTCAGCCGGGTGGACCTCATAGAATATGAGTTCCCTGATTGGGGCCGTTAACCTGGTCCAGTCAGGGAGCCCTGGCTGACAGATATAAGCAGGAGCATCAGAAGTCCTGCTCACTCGGAGGGCTGGCTCTGAGGAAGTTGGGTTCGTGTCAAGTACTATGCAAGTATAAATAAAGGGTGACGAGATATCAGCCCCTGTGGAGTTATTTCAGTAATGATGTCTTTCACAACCCCTCAACTCCTCATGCGCAAAGGAAGTGTAGTCCAACACCAGATCTTTGAGCATGGATTTGGGGTGCTGCTGTGTCAGAGGTGCTGTCTTTTGGGATGAGAAGTTAAACTGAGAGCCCTCTCAGATGGATGCAAAAATATCACCTGGCTGGTCATCAAATAGGAGCAGGGGTCATTTCCCCATGGTGCCCTGATCAATCTTTATCAATCAACCAGCATCTTAAAAAAAAAACTGATCATCTGGTCATTAACAGATCTTGTGGGATCTTACTGTGCACAATTTGGCCGCATCATTTCCAACAGAACAATGGAGGCTCACCTACAAATAAAAAATGCTTCATTTACCTCAAAGCTCTTTGGAGAAAGGGTTTCCAGACCCAGCCTGTTGTTGTGAGTTAAACAATACTTAGCAGATCATTCACAAACAGGGACAATGACAGGCAAGAACAATGTTTCACAATTCAATAAACCGATTAAACAATAGAGGGGGCACCAGTCAATCAGCAGAAAGGTTGATATTAAATAAATGGTGCAGAGGAAATACATGAGATGTGCTAATTTAATTCTTTCTCTCTCTCTCTCTCTATGATTGTCAGTCTGATGGATTGTCTTTTAAATCTATGTCTTTGTGCATGTCCCAAAGAGCATTCGGCATATAAAAACCCCTGACATCAGTTAGAAAAAAAACAACACAAGGGGAAAGCCTGTCATTGGTCAGAGATGACATATTTGCTGTACCTGAACTATTTTTAACCGCATTACCTCATTGTGTGGAGAGGGAGGGGGGAATTCAAGCTATTTCACTGAGTTACAGAGAGAGAGAGACAGAGAGAGAGATAGTGTATGTATGTGTGTGTGCATCCTACATGCATGGTGCAACGACTCTTTTTTCACCTGCAGTCGACTGAAATAAACATCAAAATAGCTGCCGCCGTCAACAAGAATTGCAACGAGAGAAAGGTTATTTTTGTTTTTTTTGGTAAGTTTATCTTTGCAAGCAAACAAAAAATTAAATCTCTTGCATTGAGATGACAAGTGTGCAAATGCATCCGAAACAATAGAGGGGGTTAACCCGAGGGAATTGTGTTATCGTGACATGAAGCTGAGGAATAATATTAGAGATTGCAATGATATTGCATTGCGAGCGAATTTCTTAATGTCAGATGCAGGCAAGCAATTTTTTGCAAGATGTTGGCTGATTTTAAAATATGATTCATTACGTTATCATCATGTCAATGTTTTTTTTAAATTTAAAACAGTCGTGAGTAAGAAACTTAAATGCATTAGCTTTATTTACAATTGTGAATATCAGCTCTGCAGTTAGTTCCCGCGTGTTAAATATTTAATCGATTTGATATGATTTACCCCGACATCTAAGGTGCATTGAAGCGATGCGTGAGAACTAGATTTTTTGTTAAAGTCTGTTTTTAAGAGTATATCCTTCCAGTTCAGATGAGATGCAAGGAGCAGCTTTCAACATTCCCCACTTTAAATTGAATAAGCAATTACACAGTACAGCAGTGGATGCTTTTTTTTTGTTTATAATGGTGGAAAGGTGAATGAATACGAAAGCAATGAGATGATGGCGTATCCATGCAAGACATTCGCTGGACTATTGTTCCAAAACTGTCGGTTAAAACTGAGGACCCTACAGTACAAAGGATTGAGGGAATACCTAGATGATATCAGGGACAGCAGGATGTGGTTAAGATGCCACTTCGACATACAAAGGTCTGTATTCACAGACCAAGAGGAAAATTTGATAGAAGTTTTCAAAATCACACAGGAGGCTTGATAAGGTAAATGCTGAATGGGAAACAAGGGTTTGGGATTAGTGCCACAGTGGAGGGGGGGGGGTCTTGCGGATTTAGAATGTTTCTTATGCAGAATATTATTATCTGACTTGGCTGCATAATCTACAGTTTAGTGCAGTGCTAAGGGGGATGGCATCTCTCAGATGAGATGTTAATCCGAGGTGCCCTCTCAGGTGAACATAAAAGGTCACCATCTGAAGAAGAGCAGGGGGGTGGTGATGTTCTTTTCAGGCTCTTTGTTGACATGTAGCCTTCAAGCAATATCACTGCTACCGACTGTCTGCTCATTATCACATTGCTGTTTGTGGTAGCTTGGCAATTACTGGTCAAGTTTCCTTTTCTCATTGGCTGCAAAATGCTTGGGCATGTCCTATGCTTGCAAATGATACAAAATGTTCTGTTTATAAATATGGAGCAAGTGACCACATTGAGCACTGATCAAAGAACTCTTAGGAGGGAAACATTTGGAGAGGAAACAAAGCGTAGGGAAAGGGAAAGAATGGCCTTCAGGGGCTGAATGGCCTCCTGCTCCCTAATTGGTATGTTCTGATGATTTGTAAAAATAAAATCTAGGCCAGTCTCCGACTATATAATTGACTTAATTAATAAAAGAAAAACCTTTCGAAAAACGTGTTTATTCTGGACACATCTAGGCAGCAGAGGAATGTGATCTCTGAGGAGATTTGTTTTGCAGAGAGAGAGACACAGATCAGGGTTTCTGGAATATAACATTTTCCAACCCAGGCATAGCCATTCCAAGCAGAATGACATACAGCAAAAAGGATATTGAACTGATTATTGCAGCACATTACATGGTTTGTTTAAAAAGACTCTGGGATAAACTTCTCTCCCTCAACACAGTGTCAGGGGATCTATAATAGACATAGTAAGAACTGCCGATGCTGGAGTCTGAGATAACAAGGTGTAGAGCTGGGGGAACACAGCAGGCCAGGCAGCATCAGAGGAGCAGGAAAACTGACGTTTCGAGTCAGGACTGTTCTTCAGAAATGGGGGGAGAGGAAGGAGGCTCTGAAATAAATAGAGAGAGGGGTACTGGGGAAGGTAGATGGGATGGTGATAGGTGAGTGCAGGTAGGTAGTGTTGGGGATTGGTCAGTGAAGTGATGTTTACCATGGAGGGTGCCATAGTTAAAATCTCATCCCAAAAGTAGTGCCTCAGTATTGCACTAGGTTTTGACAGCCCACTACTAAATGGGACCTGACCACATCAACTTTAGAAGTGAGCATGCAACCCACTGAACCACATTAATCATGGCCCACTGTACATTCAGGAGAGCTAACACAAGGTAGAGGACAGTAATACATCCTTGCAGCAACTGGTAATGCAAATGTCTCCATTACTGGAAGGTTCAGCTCTTTTCTGATGGGATGTTTTAGCTTTCGCTTACTTTAATCTAAAAACACATTTCCACTATCTGCTGCGTCTGGACAGATAGGGAACTGTGATTTCTTGGGTCTGCAGTTTTGCCAGCATTTGCTATTCTCAAGTGAAGCTAAACTATAGCATAAGGAAGTTATTTTTGTTGTTGCACTTTGTCACCATCGTGAGGGATCCACAAGGGGGCTCTGGGTTGGGAGTCTCTCTCTGAGAACAGTTGGTGTCAACAGTAGCCTAGATAGCAGTGTCCCTATCAATCAGTGTCACCATCCCAACTGGGAGTGTTTCCCCATCGGTAACACGGCAACCTGACTGGCAACTTACAGCTCATGCAAAGCAGTAACTGTATCGTCAAGACAGCATCAAGCTGCATTTGTATAGCACCTTTAACGTAGTGAGACATCCCAAGGGGCTTCAGGGGAGCAAACGTTGACACCCAGAAAATAAGAAGTTATTAAGATAGATGATCAAAGGCTTGGGAAAGCAGCATCTGAAAGTTGAAAAGCAGGGTGGAAGTTTAGGGAGAGTATTCCAGAGCTGAGAGACCAAGGCAACTAAAGGCTAGGCCGCCCATTGTTGGAGCTATAAAAACTGGGGATGCTCAACAGATCTGAACTAGTAGAGTGCAGAGATCTCAGAGCATTGTGGGGCTCAGGAGATTTGATTTAAAATACAGAAGAATGATTACTATCCCAGAACCTGGACCCAAAATGAGAGGGGGCACGAGAGGCAAACTGCAGTCAGCAGACAAACCACATCCTTCTTTTTTGCTGCAATAGAAATGTCAGCACACCTTCCAATAACAGTCACTGGATAGTGTTGGTGGGCAGACTGCAGTTCACTCTGGTGCTCCAGTGAAAACTGCAGAACAGTTCAATGATGTGGCCCACACAGTCACTCTGTCAATGCTTAAGGTCTAGCCACACACATGATGAATACAGCAGGAGCCCCCTAAGATGAGTTAAGGTCTTCAGGGGAGATTGAGGGAGGTTGTGGTACATTGATATTGTTCCGGGCACTAGTAATCCAGAGACCAATAATCTATGGATGTGGGTTGTAAACCCACAATGGTACATGGTAACATTTGAATTCAATAAAATTTGAAATTGAAAGCTCGCCTTATGTTGACTATGTAACACTGTTGATTGTCATAAAAACCCATCTGGTTCACTAATGTCCTTTAGGGAAGGAAATCTGCCATCTTTACCTGGTCTGGCCTACATGTGACTCCAGACCCACAGCAATATGGTTGACTCTTGATTTGATTTATTTATTGTCACATGTTTCTTTTTACAAAAATGCAGTGTAAAGTGTTGCATAGGATCGACACTCTCTTAGAAAAATAGAAAATGCTGGAGAAACTCAGCAGGTCTGGCAGCATTTGTGGAGAGAGAAACAGTGTCAACATTTCAAGTTTGATATGAAGGAGAGTCACATTGGATTTTCAACAATATTTCTGCTTCTCTCTCTACAGATGCTGCCAGACCTGCTGAGTGTCTTCAGCACTCTCTATTTTTATTTCTTATTTCCAGCATCTGCAATGTTTTTCTTTGATTTGTTTGACTAATAACTACCCCCTGAACTGGCATAGCAAGACACGCAGTTCAAGGGCAATTAGGGTGGACAAATAAATGCTGGCTTTTCAGCAATGCCCACACGCAACGAAAGAAGAAAAACAATTCAAGGTGATGGATGTGTGAATTTAAATGATGAATAAAAAGTGTGATTTTTATTTAAAAAAATTTCTCATCTCCAGAATCAAATGGCAGGAGACAAGAAGCCAATGAAGGCCATCAGGGCCAATCAGCTGGCTGCCATGTTGCAAGGCCAGAAGGAGAAGATGTTGGTCATTGACTGTCGTCCTAATGCTGACTACCACAACCTGCACGTGCTAAATGCCGTCAACATCTGTGCCACAAAGATCACGCCTGAGAGAGAGTCACTTGCTGAACTCCTGCAGCCGAGCCCAACGGTGATGGTTTGTTCTGGCTATTTTGTTCACTCTTATTCTCTCTTTTCCTTCCCACCACCATCCCCCCCGCCGCTCCCCAATCCCTGATGAGATTGCTTTTTGCATGGAGCAAGATGTTTGAAATCATTAAGCATTTAATAGTTAGGGTTACCAATCCTCCAGAATGAGCAGACATTGAAGATTCACTGCTTTCAGGAACATTAAAGAAACATTTACCTTCCCTCTAAGAATTTTCATTTATCAGTTACAATAACTTATCAGATATGGGAGTGACAGACATAAAACATCCTAACTAGAGTATTGCCGAGAAAAACGAGATACGCTGTTGAAGCTTTTCGCCTTGCACTCATCAGGACAAAATTGCAAGAATACCAAATCTCAAAGGGAACAACAATTTATATTACATGAGAAAAGGGTATTAATTGGTTGACTCTTGATTGGTCAAAGCTTAGCCATGGATAACGCAGCAAGGAACCACTGAACCCCACACTCTTGTTTCATACAAATAAGCAGCAATGTTTGAACATGTTCCTTTGGTCTGCAGAGGACAGGCTCTTGCGTATAAATATATTTAGCTTTTCACCACATTGACTTGCCAATCAATCAGCACACTTTTCCTCATGCAGGACAAATTGTTGCTGCCTTTGAGATTTGGCATTCTGGTGATTCTGTCCTGATGAGATGCAAGATAAAAAGCTTCAAGGGCACAGCTCAGAAGAGTTTGGGAGTTCTTGTGTACAAATCACAAAATAGCTAGCTTACAAGTTCAGCAGGTTTATCAGGAAAGCAAATGGAGTTTGGCCTTTACTTCAAAGGGAATGGAATATAAAAATCGGGAACTCTTGCTGATACTATACAGGTCAGACAGCTGGAATACTGGGAACAGTTTGGGTCCCTAATCTAGGGAAAGATAGAATGGCATTGGAGACAGTCGGAGAAGGTTCATGTAGTGATTATAACAAGGTCAACCAAAATATTAGTTCCTTGATTGGGGCTGTTAACCGAGTTCAGTCAGGGAGCCCTGGCTGACAGATAAAAACAAGAGTGTCAGAGGTTCTGTTCCCTCTGAGAGCTGGCTCTGAGGAAAACGGACCAGTGCCAAGTACCATGCACACGTAAATAAAGGGTGACTTGGTGATGGGATACCGGCCTGTGTGGAGTTATTTCAGTTCAGGAAGCTGATTCTTGGTCTGGAGGAACTGTTTCATGTGGAGACATTCTGTAGGTTGGGCCTGTACTCATTAAGAGTTTAGAAGAATGAGAAGCAATGTTATTGAAACTTTTGCGATTATTAGGGGACAAAGCAGGTTAGATGTGGAAAGGCTGTTTTCCCATGTGGGAGGTCCTGGATATGGTGGGTCTGTGTTATGAGAAAAGGTCTGCATGTACTTATTGGAATTTAGAAGAACGAGAGTCATCCTGATTGAAATGTACAAGATTCTGAAGGAACTCGATAGGATAAATTTAGAAAGGTTGTTTCCCATTTCCGGGGAGTCTAAGACCAGAGGGCATAATCTCAGAATAAGGGGTCAACTGTTTAGCGAAAGTGTGGAATTCCTTACTACTGAGGGCTATCGAGGCTGAATCATTATGTATGTTCAAGGCTGAGATAGAAAGATTTGTAATCAGTAAGGGAATCTCGGGTTGAGGGGATAAGGCAGGAAAGTGGAGTTGAGGATAATTGTTTCAGCCATTAATCTTATTGAATGGCACAGCAGATTCAGTGGGCTTAGTGATCTGCTTCAACTCCTACATCTTATCGTTATGTCTCTTTTTTCAGCAATAAGCACCCAGTCGTGCAATGAATGGGTTACTGCACACAAGAGGGCCATTCAGCCCTTTGGGTCTATGATTTGTTCTCCGCAACAGAAACTTAGAAATCCTACGTTGCAGCTTTTTTCCCATAGCCCTGCAAACATTTTCTCCTAAGACACTTATCCAGTGACCCCCTTGAAAGCTGTGATTGAATATGCCTGCGTCACACTCTCAGATGTTCTGGATCCAACCACTTGCTGAGTAAAAAATGCTCTTCCTCACACCACCACAGCTTCTTTTGCCAATCATCTTAAATCAGTATCCTTCAATTCTCGATTATGCCACAGCTTCCTCTACCTGTTCAGACTTAGAAACTTTGGCATTAGAGTCTGTTTGTTTTCTGATTGGCCACAGGACGGTTGGCACCATGGTAATTAACTAATAACAGAGTGACTAATGATGGTATGGGTGGGGCAGTTGGAGGCATGAGGTCATGTGAAGAAATGTCCAGCAATACATCTGACCAATCTTAATGGGAGTGGGCCAGAGCAGTGATTAAGTTGTGACTGGATGCTAAAGCAGTGACTAATGCTCTAAGGGACATGGGTTCAATTCCTACCACTGCAGCTGTTGGAATTTACATGGCCAATTAATAAAATGCGCATTGTTACACCAGTCTCAGCGATGGTGACCATGACAATTATCAGCAATTGTTTAATGAACAAGTCTGGTTTTTAAGGGAAGAAAATCTGCTGGCTTTACCTGCTCTGGCCTACATATGACCCCAGAGGCACAACAATGTGGTAGACTCTTCACTGCATTTCTGAAGTGGCCTGGCCAGTTCGAGGGTAATTAGGGATGGGTAATAAACACTAGCTTTGCCAGTGTTGCTTACATCCCATGAAAGAATACAAAAAAAGTTGAGAAGTTAATAGAGAAGAAGATCTTTATTGTGACCCTATTAATTGTCTCTCATGAATCCCCAGATAAAGGACCTACAGGTGAAGGAGCTGGTGCTGTATGACCAAGAAACAAAAGATGCGAAATGTCCTCCAGCCACCGACATCATCACAATCCTCCTGCGAAACCTGGAGAAACAATTCAACAATGTATATTTTCTTAAAGGTACAGCCTATATAATTTAAAGGGAAAGTCCCACTGTTGGTACCTTTTTGTCATGAACGTTACATGGTTCCAGTAGCATGACGGCAATGTCTGTGTACTAGTAATCCAGGGGTAATAGATCCAGGGGCATAAGTGAATCCCATTGTGACTGCTGGCAAATGTAAGTTCAATTAATTGAACAACATCGCACTAAAGATCAACATCAGTTGTGGTAACCATGAATCTACCAGAAAACCCATTATCTTCTCTAATATCCATCAAAGGAGGAAAACTGCCACCCTTTCCCAATCTGACCTGCATGGGACTCCAGATCTACAGCAATGTGGTTGATACTTAACTGCTCCTGAATTGGCTTAGGAAGCCACTCAGTTATTTTTTTAAGAATCCCCAGCAGGCCATTCGAGCCCATACCAACCCTCCAAAGAGCATCCCACCCCCTACCCTATTACCCCACATTTTGCACAGCTAATCCACCTGACCTGCACATCCCTGGACACCATGGAGTAGTTTAGCATGGCCGATCCACCTAACCTGCACATCCCTGGACACCATGGGGTAATTTAGCATGACCAATCCACCTAACCTGCACATCTTTGGACTGTGGGAGGAAACCCATGCAGACACGGGGAGAATGTGCAAACTTCTTACAAACAGTCACCTGAGACTGGAATTGATCCTTCACAGGCGATGTGGGGCACAGTGTTAACCACCGAGCCACCGTGCTGCTCTTATAGTTAATATGGTTCACCACTACCTTCTCAAGGGCAACAAGGGATGGACGATAAATGCTGACCTTGCCAGCGATGGCCACCTTTTGTGAAGGAATGAAAAATAAAATGATCCACACTGGGTTTTGTATTCATTTTCACCCATCCCTTCTATTGTTGTCCCGTCCTCTCCCAATGGATGTTACTGGGCTGTGAGCAAAAGGAGGCAGCTAAGTGCATAATACCTTGGCTATATCCTCCCAGTGTAAGTCCAGAGAGTAAAGATAGGCAAACTGTTTTAGTTCGGAGAATTCCACTGCCTGATGCAGGTTTCACTGAGTGTTGATCAAGACATGAGACAATGGCTGAATCCCCTTTCATCAAGTAGTCTGAAGGTGTCAAAGTTAACAGGCACTACTTACAACCACCTCAATATGATAAAATGTTGACCTTCCTTGTATAATAAGTCTCCATTCACTTCAGTGATTTTGAGTAAGAAGGGAACAACTCAACCAGGGTGCTCACTGCTGACCTTTATCCAGTGTTACACATTGCATGTCTTTGGATGACAACTGAAGACTGCACTGGCTGTGATGCCTCCCCTAGTCGAATAGCCTCTGATCACTTGGTAACTAGGCTTAAGAAAGAGTGACCAGCCTGAAGGGGATGTGGCCAGACAGCATGGCACCCAATATTTTCAGGGACAAATAAAGGGATGGTAATTGCAATTTATTGGGGTGATTCCAGAGGCCAAGACTAATTATCTAGGGGTCATGGGTTCAAAGTCCACTGCAGCTGTGAGTGGAATTTAAATTCAGTTAATAAATCTGGAATATAAAGTTAGTCTGATGGCCGTTACACCTATCGATTTCCATCTGGTTCACTGAAGCGTTTTAGGGAAGGATATCTGCTGTCCATGCCTGGTCTGGCTTACATGTGACTCCAGACCCACTGCAATATGATTGATTTTCTCCTGCCTCTGAATTGGCCCGAGCAAGCTGTTTGATTCAAGGGAAACTTAGGGACAGACAACAAATGCTGGCCTTGCCACTGCTACCCACATCCCAGGAAAGAATTAAAGTGTGGATGGCTGTTGGTATTGAACATATGATTTAGGAGCAGAAGTAGACCATTTGGTCCCTCAAATCAAGAGAAAAGCAGCTAGACCAGAGGCTACTCATTGAACTGTACCCCAGAAAAGAACCAGTATCTTTGGTGACAAACTTGAAATGGTAATTTTAATATTATGACTAGGAAAGAGCCTTAGTTATTGGTTGTCGTTTGGTGGGGCAAGTGTATGGCTTTAATAGGGAAAGGGCTGTTGAAGACCTTTAAGAGTGTGAAATATTCTTATCCTTTTTGTCCGGTTCCCTCTCACGCTATTCCCTTCTCTTCTTTACAGGAGGCTTTCTGGAGTTTTCCTCTTGTTTTCCCAGCTTGTGTGAAGGGAAATCAAGCAATTCCTTGCCCAGCAGCTTCTCACAGCCGTGTCTCTCCACGTGTGACATGGGACCCACTCAGATCCTCCCATATTTCTACTTGGGCTCCCAGAATGATGTTTTGAATAAGGTGAGTAAGGCGCAAGCTAGAGGATACAGGCCTATAACAACCAGTCTCGATTGAAACCAGGGTCCAGGATCAACCTTACCCCCCAGCTTCAAAGAAACTCCATGGGATTCTCCCAGAACTTCAGCAGAGGATTGGTGGAATTCTTGGAGAAATGGCAAAGATGGGCACTCGTACCATTTCTCTAGGAATTCTGCCAGTCGTTTGCTGTGGGACATCGAATGGAAATCAGCAATTAGGAATGGGATTGAAGCTGGATAACAGAGATCTTGGGATTTTTGTTCAATCACTTTTGAGGATGAAAGGAGCTGTTGTTGAGAATTTTTGCTGAGAAGTTTAAGCTGCAGCGTGAGAGCGTGTGTTAGGTTTGATTGTGCAGGGTCTGTAGAAGGTGGTCGGTTTGGGGCAGACTTTAAAAGCCACAGGAGACTGGAGTGGACTGTGCAGGAGACTGCAGAAGCAGCTTCAGCTGTGATGGTGAGACTGGATGACACGCAAGCTTCATTCATTGTCCCAATACGGTCAGTGACATAGCAACAGGATTTGCTTTGGAGTTATTGAATTTTAAAGGAGATATGATTATCTGGCAAGCAATGGGACTGAAAGTTATAAAGACAGTTGTAAGTACATAGCTGATTAAATAATTCATGTTATATCTACTGTGCGTTACTCAGTACATCACAAAAGTAGTTGATGGAAAGTGTCACTCATCCTGGTTTAAATTGCTTCACTGGGAATCATTGGATGGAGCAATGTATTGGATGAAATGAGGACTGACTGCCTATCCCGCTTCTTATTCCTTAGTCTCTTATAATTTTCATGAGAAGGAGGAGGTAAGATTTGGGTTGTTCAAAGACTAAGTTAGAGCAGGAAGGCAAAGTTGAGACAGCTGGTGTCCTTCGCTGTTTGGAACCCCAGAAAAGAATGGCGTTGAGCAGGAGATCGATCTTCATTTCAACATGATGATGGCACAAAAGGAGGAAGGAGGTGGTGCAGGAATGCAGATGGATTTTAATTGCTGTGCAACTTTCTTTTGCAGGAATTGATGACTCAGAATGGGATAACCCACATTTTGAATGTGAGCAGTAACTGCCCAAAGCCCACATTTATCCCCGACAGCCATTTCCTGCGGATCCCAGTCAATGACAGCTACTGTGAGAGTCTCTTACCTTGGCTGAACAAGTCTGTGGAATTCATAGGTATGAAGTTGAACAGCGAAATGCGGACTAGCACATGGAGGAGCGGGGAGGTGGGGGGCATGTAGATACATTCAGCAATTCACCCTGGTGCCAGTGAATATCATTGAGTCATACAGCACGGAAACAGACCTTTCGGTCCAACCAGTCCATGCTGACCATAATCCCAAACTAAACCACTCCCACCTGCCTGCTCCTGGCCCATATCCCTCCAAATATTTCCTATTCACGTACCTATCCAAATGTCTTTTAAATGATGTAATTGTATCCACATTCACCACTTCCTTAGGAAGCTCATTCCACACGCAAACCACCCACTGTGTAAAAAAAAAATGCCCCTTGTGTCTTTTTTAAATCTTTCTACTCTCACTTTACAGTTTTCTAGCTTAACTCACACCAAACAGTTTACCCATCATGCCTGTGTTTACTGACTTACATTGGCTCCTGGTCTGTCACTGGCTCCAACTTAAAGTCCTTCTCATTATGTTCAAATTCCTCTTTGGCTTTGCTATCTCTGTTACCTACTCCAGCTCTGCAACTCTCTAAGAATTCTGAGCTCCTCCAATTCTGGCTTCATGTGCAATGCGATTTCCACAACTCCACCATAAGTAGTCATGCTTTTAATTCCTAAATCCTGAATTCTGGAATCCCCTCCCTAATTCTCCTGATTTAAGACTTCCTTTAAAATATCTATTTGGTCAAGCTTTGGTCACCAGTCCTAATACTTACAATAATATTTCTTTATGGGACTCATGTCAATTCTTTTCTGATAACAGCCTTGTGAAGCCCTTTGGGATGTTTTACTACAATAAAGGTGCTATATGATAAAAGTCGTTGTCCTTTTTTTGCACATCCCCTTCAAACCCCCAACACAGTATCTCAAACAGTGGACTCCTTCATCTTTTCTGAAGAAGGGTCCTGACCCAAAACGTCAGCTTTCCTGCTCCTCTGATGCTGCCTGGCCTGCTGAGTTCCTCCAGCTCCACACTGTGTTATCTCCTTCTTCTTACATACCCAGTTGTCATCCTATGCTTCATCCAATTGGAAGTTCTTCATATCTGGCCCGGGATAATGACTGACAACCATATATCAGAGCTGTGTGCTAGCAGAAACATTCTCCCATCTGTGCCAAACAGCTGCATGGTCAATTCTTGCAGATTTGTTGCTGCCCCCATTGAGATCAGACCAGGAAACACCTAAGTGTAGGGTTCAGGAAGCATTTTAACTAATAAGATTAAGGGAGGAACCACAAACGTCTTTCCAGCGAAAGATTTTATATCCACTTGGGGACCTGAAGCATTGGAAAGATTCCACGGCACTTTTCAAAGATGAGTAGGGTGTGTGTTGAACATCTCTCTCTCAACTCGCAGCTGCCGTTTATCTTATAACTGTTTGTGGGTGCTCGCTAGGCATAGATTAGCCATGGGATTTCCAAGGGTATAACTGTGACTACATGCAAAAGTATTTTGTTGGCTGTAAAGCACTCTGGAACACCTTAACGATTTAAAAGTGGTTAAATAAACGCAAGTTGGTTCTTCCTTTCTTAATGACATTCTTGACACTAACTGTTTCACACAGACACAGTGCGGTCAATGAAGTCTCGGGTTTTAGTGCACTGCTTGGCTGGGATCTCGCGGTCTGCAGCAATCGCTATTGCTTACGTCATGAGGACAATGGATTTCTCTTTGGACGATGCTTACAGGTATGAACAGAGCATCTTCTGGAGGATTTGAGAAACAGAAGCAGCAAAATGTAGATGCAGATTCTAAGAGAGAAGGACAAGGCTTTACGACAAAGTGTCGACAGAGTGAAGCTGGTTTGATCTATATCAGATCAGATATTTGAATCATTCATTGAAAGTAAGCTGTAACACAACACTAAGATCATATGTAAACAGTTGCTAGAACTTGAATATCTCTGAAAAAAAGAGATACATTGCTGGAGCCTTTCATCTTACACTCATCAGGACAAATGCAAGAATGCCAAATTTCAAGCAATTAAAACAACTTAATCTCCATGTGAAAAGAGCACTGATTCAAGCTGGTTTTGATTAGCCAAGAGACTACCATGGAAGAGCGATAGGAAACCATTAGCCCCCCCAAACTCCCATGTAGTTCAAAAACGGTTTGAACATATTCCTTTTGTTTTGCAGAGAATGGGTCCCTGAATTTGAATATATGCCATTCTAGTGGGAGTAAGTGGGACATGTTATGAACTTCACCAATTATTTTCAAGTATTTCAGAGGTGAGAGATGTAGAGAAAGCGATCAAGGGAGAGGGAGAGAAATAAGACCAGGAGGTGGAGGAGGAAGGTGCAAGAAGAGAGAGGGAGGTGTGGACACAGATAGCTCGACAGGATAAAAACAAAGAAAACAGAGACAGAGAGGGCAACAGACATAGTGAGGAGAAATTACAGATGGAATGTTGACATGGAAAAACAAGTAGAAGAGAGAAAAAAGGATAATTATGAGGGAAGCACTTTTTCACAATTGAATTGCAGAAACCTGAATTATTTCTCTCAGTAGATGGACAGTAGGTCAATTGAAACATTTATAACCGAGTACAATGGCTTGTGGCTTGTTTTTGTTCAGTCAGGGTACCAACAGTTAAAGGTGCTGGAATGGGGTTGGAAGTGCTGATCAACCATGATGTAATTGAATGATAGAACAGGCACAAGAGGCTGAATGGCCTTGCCCTGTTTTTATTGTTTTTGAATGGCATCCCTCCCACCCTTGTCTTTATCCCGCCTCCCCAAACATTCAGCGTTCTTTTCTCAAAATGCCAAAGTGTGTCGCAGTTTGACCGTATGTTATTGCCATTTCCTCAGCTATGTGTGTAAATGACCTTGGCTGCTATAGTGAAGCTTATCGCAGCCAAGCTGACTCCTGCCCCTGTCCTAAATCCAGACGGCTGTGGCTCAGTGGTTAGCACTGCTGCATCACAGTGCCAGGGTCCTGAGTTCAATTCCACCTTTGATGACTGTCTGTGTGGAGTCCTCCCTATCTCTGTGTGGGTTTCCACCCACAGTCCAGAGATGTGCAGATTTGGTGGGCTGGCCATGCAAAATTGTCTGTGGTGTCCAGCTGTATGTAGGCTAGGTGGATTAGCCATGGGAATTGCAAGGTTACGGGGACAGAGTAGGGATTTGGTTCAGATGCTCTTCGAAGGGTCAGTGCAGCCTCGATGAATGGCTGAATGGCCTATTTCTGCATTGTGGGGATTCTATGATTCCATGCTGCACCAAACAGCAGGGTCCCTGGTTATGCCTGCCAACACTCACTCACCAGATCATTTGGGTGAAAGGGAACTTCTTTATCTTGCATAAGATGTGGGCATCAAATACACAACAACACCATCAAAGCCAGCAATGGTTGCCTAATCATTAACTGCCCCTGAACTGAGTGGCTCGCTGGGGCATTTCAGAGGGCAGTTAAGACTCAACCACATTGCTGTGGGCCTGGAGTTACAAGTGAAGCTAGACCAGGTTAAGGATGACAGATGGCACATCAGTGAACCAGATCAGTGTTTAACAACAATCAAAGATATTTGTCCTGGTCATTACTGAGACTAGCTTCATATTTCCAGTTCTTTCATTTACTGGCTACAGTGGTGGGATTTGAATCCTGCTCCTGCAGCATCAACCCCTGAAATACTAGTTTAGTGATAGAACCATGACATCACTATCTCCTCTAAAGGGACGAGAGGGCTGTTGTCTGCTTCTGTGACTTTTAAAATCATTTTTGCTTGTAATTATCTTGTGAAGAATAATTATTATTTGCCATGATCAGGTTTGTGAAAGACAGAAGACCCTCAATTTCGCCGAACTTCAACTTCCTGGGCCAGTTAGTGGAGTATGAAAAGACCATCCTACAGATCCAGGCTTCAGCCCATACAGCACAAAACATCCTTCATCCTCAGAACAGCCCAACGCAAGAAGAAGCCAACCAGCCACACACTTGTGAAGACCCTGAGGAAGATGCAGAGATACCTGCCCCTCATTTTCCAGCCTTGAACATTCCAGCACAGCACAAGGATCTTTTGGGTAAAGGAACTGACAGTGATGCGAGCAGCAATCGCAGAGATCCAGAGATGGCAGCCTTACAGCAGGGGTTCTCCGACCTTCGCCTCTCACCGGAGCAAATATCGCACACCAGCTGCTTGAAGCGCTCTTTCTCCCTGGACGTGAAGTCTGTCTACTCTTCAGACCCACACATCGGATGCTATCAGACTGCACAGCCAGCGGAGACAGGCCCTGTCCCAAAGCTGCTGGGCTTTCAGAGCAAGTTGGTCACCAGTACCTTCAACCCATTCACCCTCTTGTTCGGCAACGCCAGGAAAGGCCGCGGGAAAGACAGTGCCATATCCAATGGAGGCCCACAGGCATCGAAAGCCCAGCAGAAATGTAGCTGTGTTGAGAATGCCTCCCCTGTCACTGGGGCTGACCAAGGACCAATGTGTTCACCTTGTGTGACTCGCCGGAAGGACGGTGGTCAGAATGATCCCACCGCAAGAGTGACACTGAGCTTGCCCATCGCCAGGCAACCATCGTCGCCGCTGCTCGATTACAGCAGCTGCCTCATAACAGTGCATGGAAAGAGGACACAGTTATCCCTGTTTGAACACCCTTACAGTGGCCCCACAGATTGCAAGGCCATCACACCCGATCATATCACGAGGAACGTGGGCCTGTACGCTGACAATGTGGTGAAATCCTAATCCTAATTGTGAAAATGAACAAGCACATCCCATGATCTGTTCAGATTGGATTTGCTCCTTCTAAGAGGAAGGGTAGACAGGCCAAAGAACTTTGCACTTTCAGCCTGTTCTTTCTCTCTTTGGCCACAAATGCCCTCTGCGGTAGGCCTCGGCTCACTTGATCGTTACCATTCCTGAGGCCCATGTCATATTTCTCAGGCGTTTTACTGTTGCACCTGACTTCAGGGCATTCTTTAATCTGTTGAGATGTTGCTAAGAACAGTACATGGTCAAAAGGTGAACACTTTTGCAAAAACAGTGTCCATAGGAAAATAGTGAACAGACGTTTAACAGAACTTGAATGATTGGATAGACCATTGTTCCTCAAATTGAAACTTAACAATGGGGAACAAAAGACTAACTTGGAATTAAGACTGAATTTCTTCGAAAAACAGTTTAAAACTAAAATTATTTATTGGGACACTGGTGACACTGGTCCTTACTGGTTGATGTTATTTTAAGGATCATGGTGCCAGGGGTTTATTAATCGTGAAGGGTTGGCAGAGGGGTACGTGTGGATGCCAGTTCCTGAAGGGAACATGATGGTTTCTTTGCTGCTAAGGCCATGGGAATGTTCTGTGTTGAACTGGAGTTGCCATGAGGGAACAATAAAGATGGGTAGACCTCCTTGAGTTTTATACGATTATGTCTATTTGCATATGTTGTGGACGGAAAGGGTTGGGAAGAAAACTTTTCTGCTTTGCTCCCTCCAGATCTAAATAAAGTGGCTGCTATCCACAGTAGGTTAGATTGCGTATGTTATTTGGAGGGAACAGCTTGATAGGCCGAAGGGTTTCTTCTGATTTCCTGTTTTTCTAATGTTTTTATACGGGGGTGGGGGTGGTGGTGTAGTAACTTTCCGTTTTGTCTCCTTCCTGAGGGAGCCACGGCTGTTGTCTGTGGTGCTTGAGTGGTGGAGTGACTCGTGTTGTTGTGTTAGGTTAGATTCCAGCCTCCCTGCAGCAGTTACACTGACTGTGTGAATCACCACATGAAGAAATCAGCCTTGGACTGGCTCCCATATCGGGAGAGAACAGGTGAGGGCTGAGCGGCCACATTCCTAAATGTAACATTGTACTTCGGGTAGAATAAGAGCAGAGAAAGAATTGCCCGGTGCACTGAAGAGCACTCTGCCGTATAAGGTAATGGTTTTGAAAGAGTTCATTTTTGACCTATTCTGAACTCGACCCAATCCAATAATATCACACAGCTGCTGGGTGGAGAATCAGTATTAACGCTTTCAGAATCAACACCTTATACAGTAACCACAAACAACCAGAGGAGCTCTTGATAAACTAGTAATATTCTCCTAATAGGTCCAATTATTCATTTAAGAGCCATGTCTGTACAAGAGTGCTGTCTATATTGTCTTTAATGCAAACAATGAGAGCACTGGGCTTCAGTTTGAGAGATCCATCAGCCTCCACAGAAAGTTGTTAGACTCCCAGTCAGAGGCCCTGGCTTATCTCAAAGGTCATGGGACCAGGTATTTATTACAAGGGGTTTCTCACGGTTTGGAGAGATAGGTCTGAATGATTCTAACATTCCGACTGTTTCAGATGCCGCCTGAGAGGCCTTGGTGCCAAACGGGTTCAGTTTAGTCCAACATTAAGATGTTGTTCTCCTACTGAGACAGACAAGTAGCCCTTTCAGTGGAGAGTACCATCCTCCCATTCAGAGGTCCCAACCTCATCTGACATGTCATCACAACTTAACTCCAAGCCAAAGTGACAAAACCTAGGGGTTGTTCAGCAGATGACGGGAAGGGAGAGAGAAAAACACATCTGCTTCGTTTTCAACACACCATCTTGTGTCGGACTTGACCACCCATATTTAAATCTAAAACCAAGACCTAAGAGGACACATTGGGCCTCAGCTTAATGGGTCAGCTCTGAGATGGCACCCTGGCAGTGCAGCAGCCCAGCAGCACTGCACCCGAGTGTCTGGATGTTGTGCTCAGGCCTCAGGACTGGGATTTGGACTCTCAATTATCTGACTCCATGGTTCGAAACTACCAGCTGAACGACAGCTGACAACTATAGCTATCAGTGTGTTGAAGAACGATTTTCAGCTGTAATGTCACACAGTACCACAAAAGCAGGCTATACCATATACATGTAAAGATTAACTACCTGCATTGCTTGAAATTAAGCCGATGGTAATTAGACACGCATCGGGTTAGAAGACAACTATGCCACTTCTCGAATCTGGAGTCAAATTGAATTTAGACCAGGGTTGTGATAAGTGAAATGAATGGCGTTAGTCCCTCATTACGGAAATGCTGTCAAACAAAACAGTCAGCTTTGCTGAGGGAACTAAGAGGATGGCTGGGAAGGGAAAAGGAAAAGTCACACTACTCACCTTGCTTAAAGGATCATGGCAGTGCAGAGGAACCTTTACTCTGTATCCCACTGTCACAGTGTGTGGCCTGAGAATGTTTGTTGGTTTAGATTGAGCTTTCCCCTGCTTTTTCAACAACGCTACGATGTTTTGGAGCAGCATGTTAGCAGGCCTGTATGCTTTCTTTTGCATGAAAATTGTTGTCAAGGTTTCTTACCACAATGTTGATTAAAGATATTCTTGTTTAATATGAATGTGCTTTCTCGTGTTTGAAATTCACACACTTGAATGAAAACGAGGGCTGTAAAACTACTTCCTTGTTCAAAAGTGTGTAGAACCAGTTCCTTCATATTTTCTCCACTTTCACAGATAATGAAAGGAAAAATGTCTTTTATTATCAATGACATATTCACTACCAACAAACTGTAGTTAGTACTGCTCTCAGTTTTTCTTTGTTAATCTTTGTAATCTCTAAATCCTCTTTGTTCTTTCTTCCTCCACTCGTACAAATCTAACACTCACTGCACCATTGGCTGTTCCAATTCAATCTTTTCCCAAAACCTCCAGCCTGAGGAATTTTTTGCACCCTTAAACTTCCTTTGCTTCTGCGGGTTTTTCTTTCAGAAAAAAAAACCTCACATCTCCCAGCTGTTGCTTGTTGATCTCTTCCATCTTCTCTCCCAGTTGTTTCGAACTCTGCTGGGGGTGCTGTGAGCTTTTAGGGTCATTACAACAGGAAAGGAGGCCATTCGATCCATCCAATCCACCACAGTTTCTTACTTAAAAGAAATTCCATGTCACAGCATTAGATAAATGTTTGGTATTTGGCTCAAAATGTCTGAGGCTTTAGTGTGCTTTTTTGTTGTTGAGAATTTGTATTTGGCATTGAGGGACTCCAATAGCTTTTTATTAACTTCTATTTAAACATTATTAAAATAAAGTGGACTTGGTTGAATTTGTGTTGTTATCTTCATAATCAATATTCCATGGGGCGGCACACTACCTCACAGCACCAGGGAACTGGGTTCAGTTCCAACCTCAGACGTGTCTGATGGAGTTTGCATATTCTCACCGAGTCTGCGTGTGTTTCCTCTGGGTGCTCTGGTTTCCTCCCTCAGTCCAAAGGTTTGCAGGTTAGGGTGGATTGGCTATGCTAAATTGCCCATATTGTCCAGGCATGTGCAAGCTTGGTGGATTACCATAAACCATGCAGGGTTACAGGGATGGATTGGGTCTGGGTGGGATGCTCTCTGGAGGGTCGGTGTGGACTCGATGGACTGAATGGCCTGCTTCCATGTTGTAGGGATTCTGTTATTCGCCCCAGTTGACACATGGGGCACACAGTACCCTGCAATGACCCTCCACAATAAATAATAGGGCAAATTCAATTATTGCCCCATCAGCCTAACACCTATCAGCAGCAAAGTGCCAGAAAAGATTCATCAACGGTTCTCACAAGTGGCACTTATAATGCTGATAACTTGCTTACTGATCTTCAGGCTGGATTTCCCCAGTTCTACTTGACCTTGGTAACTGCTTCCTCCCAGCAGGTGGTAGCACTGCAAAACCCTCCGCTCACTACGTGATATTTATGTAGGCAGGTTCCATTGTAAATCAGGATATTGGAATTGATAAGGAATAACGTTGGCAAGAAATATCAACAGGTGGAAGGTTTGTGAGGGTATGTCTATGCAATTCGAAAAATGCCCTGCTGGTGATGTGCGTTTCTTTCAATGTGTTCTGTCTTTTACGATTTTGCAGATTTACAGCCATCCTGTCATAGCTCAGAGATGGCAACCAGAGGTCTGAAGGCCACAGGTTCAAATCTCTCTGTAGAGACTTCAGCATAGAATGTAACCAGCCACACCACCCCCTCCTCCACATCAACGCAGTACTAAGCGAGTGCTGCATAATTGAGGTGCTAACTTTCAGACAAGGAATTAAACTGAGGCCCTCTTTTCTTTATTCTTTCACGGGATGAGGGCATCACTGGCCAAGCAGCATTTATTGCCCATCCCTAATTGCCCAGAGGGCAGTTAAGAGCAAACCACATCACTGTGGATCTGTAGTCACATGTACGCCAGGCCAGGAAAGGATGGCAGTTTCCTTCCCTAAAGGATATTAGTGAACCAGATAGGTTTTCCCCCAACAATCAACAATGGATTCACAGTCATCATTAGGTTCCTAATTCCAGATATTTTATTGAATTCAAATTCCACCATCTGCTGCGATAACAAGGTGTAGAACTGGATGAACACAGCAGGTCAAGCAGCATCATAGGAGCAGGAAGGCTGACGTTTCGGGCCTAGACCCTTCATCAGAAATGCTATCCCCTGAGGTTTGTCCAGAGGGAGGAGGGTAACTTCTTCAGGGTAGGCATCTTTAGAAGAGGCTTCGCAGTGGGGTTAAAATTGTATCAGAGATAGTAGGAACTGCAGATGCTGGAAAATCTGAGATAACAAGGTGTAGAGCTGGATGAACACAGCAGGCCTAGCAGCATCATAGGAGCAGGAAGGCTGACGTTTCGGGCCTAGATCCTTCATTCGAACCTGGGTCCCTGGAACATTATCTGGGTCGCTGGATTAACAGTCCAGCAATAATGCCATTAGGCCATTGCCACCCCATAAGTAGATGTAAGTAAAAGAGTGCAATGCTTCCTGTAAAACATAAGCGGTCAGTTCTTTTCCATAGCATACTAACTTTCAGTGTTCCTTATCCTGCCCCGCGAGCACTCAGTTCAGCGGGATCATTGCAGGGGTGATGTCCCTAGTGTCCTCAACAGCATTCATTCCTCAATCAACCTTACAACTCATATTCCGCTTGGGAACCCTGCAGCCCAATGGTATCAATGTGGATTTCACAAGTTTCAAAATCTCCCCTCCCCCCACCGCATCCCAAAACCAGTCCAGCTCGTCCCTGCCTCCCTAACCTGTTCTTCCTCCCACCTATCCCCTCCTCCCACCTCAAGCCGCACCTCCATCTCCTACCGACCAACCTCATCCCGCCCCCTTGACCTGTCCGTCCTCCCTGGACTGACCTATCCCCTTCCTAACTCCCTACCTACACTCACCTTTCCTGGCCCCATCCCCGCCTCTTCGACCTGTTTGTTTCCTCTCCACCTATCCTCTCCTCTATCCCTCTTCTATCCGCCTCCCACTCTCTCCCTATTTATTTCAAAACCCCCTTCCCCTCCCCCTTTTCTGATGAAGGGTCTAGGCCCGAAACGTCAGCCTTTCTGCTCCTATGATGCTGCTTAGCCTGCTGTGTTCATCCAGCTCTGCACCTTGTTGTCTCTGATTCTCCAGCATCTGCAGTTCCTACTATCTCCAGTTCAGAATAACAGTCCTTCCAACTCAGACCATGCCAGGCTTCACTTTGAGGCTGGGATTTTGCGTCCACGCTGAGGTCAGGATTTTGAGTCTATTCTGAGTCCGAAACCTGTGGTTATGTGGATAGGGAAGGAGAATGGCACCAACTGGATTGCTCTCCATACAGCCAGCATCAACTCGTTGGGCTCAGCAGCCTCCTTCTGCATGTTGTAACTGTTTTGAGAAGGTTTTAAAAGCTGGCAAAGGGATATAGGGAGTGAGATCCAAAGAGTAGAGATGGATGGAAGATCTACCAATAATTGGCAGTCTGGTGGGAGGGGGCACAGAGTCACGGGGAGTGTGAGGTAGGGAGCATAATATTGAGGATGTTTCCCGAGATGGATAGACCAAGTAATTTGTAGATGAAGATAAATATTTTAAATTCAATATTGTTTGCAAGACAGAGCTGTATACATCAATGAGGCCAAGGGTGAAACGCCATATCAATTGCAAAAATTCATGAGGAAGCAATAGCAATTGTGTAGTGGTATTGTTGCAGGACTAGTAATCCCCAGACCTGGATAATGCTCTGTTTATCCAGGATTATTCCCTTGTGGCAGATGTTGGAATTTGAATTCAGAAAATCTGGAATTAAAAGCCTTAATAATGCCACCGACAGAACAGACTCAGTAAAGGTGGTGGCATAAGAGTATATAAAAGGAGGGGCTTGCCATGGGAGTCCCTCAACATTGACACCAGATGTTGTGAAGTCTCGTGACATCTGGCCAAACATGGACAAGGAAACCTATTGATTACCAAATAGCACTCCGCCACCTCTACTGCAGCAGCAGAATTGTACTCAAAAACACAATCTGCAAACTTACGGCCCAGTATATCCCCTATTCTACCATTTCCATCAAGCCAAGTGATCAACTCTAGCTCAATAAGGAGTACAGGAAGGGATGCTTGGAGCAGCATATCAAACAATGAGGTGTGAACTTGGTGTAGCTACAAAACAGGACTATTTCCTAGGGCAAACTGCATAAACAGACAGGACTAAGCAATTCCACATCAATGGTTCAGATCTAAGCTCTGCACTGCTCCTAGCTGTCGAGCTCCCTATAAGCTCCAATAAGGTCACCTCCTATTCTTCTAAACATTAATGAGTACCAGCTTAATCTGCTTGACATTTCCTTAGAAGCCAGCCTCTTAATTTCAGGATCCAGCTTAATAATCTTTTCTAAACTGCCACCAATGCAAGTATCCCCTTCCTTAAATAAGGAGACCAAAAGCTGCAAATAGTACTCTAGGAGTGATCTCACTAATACCCTGCAGTGGTAGCAAGAGTTCCCACCTTTTTTACCCTTTCTATAGAGTCATAGAGTTATACAGCATGAGGGTTGTGAACACAGTCCAGTCTATCAAGCAAGCCATTCATTGACTCCACTTATACTTCTCACTGTCTCAGAAAGGCAGCTAACATAATCAAAGAAACCTCCCACCCCTGTTATAAACCCTTCCAACCTCTTCCATCAGGCAGAAGATACAAACCTTAAACACACCGGCCAACAGATTCAAGAACAGCTTCTTCCCCGTTGTTATTACACTTCTGAGTGCACCTCTCAAAGTTTAAACTTAATGTTGACCCCACTCTTTGTGCACCTTCTCTGCAGCCGTAACATGATATTCCTTGCTCTGTTCTATTATCCTAATGCACTTTGTATGGTGTGATCTGCTTGTACTGCATGCAAAACAAAACTTTTCATTGTACCTAGGTACATGTGACAATAATAAATCAGATCAAACAGACCCTTTGGTTCAACTTGTTCATGCCAACCAAGTTTCCTAAACAAGTCCCATTTGCCTGCACTCAGCCCATATTCCTCTAAACTTTTCCTATCCATGTAATTGTCCAAATGTCTTTTAAATGTTGCAAATGTAACTGCATCCACCACTTCCTCTGACAGCTCATTCCATATATGCACCACCCTCTGTGTAACAAAGGTGCCCCTCAGGTTCCTTTTAAATCTTTCCCCTCACACCTTAAAATTATGCCCTCTAGTTTTGAACTCCACAACCCAAGGGAAAAGACCTTTGCTATTCACCTTCTCTAAGCCCCTCGTGATTTTATAAACCTCTATAAGGTCACCCTCCAACCTCCTACCCTCCAGTGAAAAATCCCCAGCTTATTCAGCCTCTCCTTACAACTCAAACCATCCAGTCCTGGTAACATCCTTATAAATATTTTCTGCACCCTTTCCAACTTAATAATATCCTTCCTATAGCAGGACAACCAGAACTGTACCCTATCTTGCATTAAAGGTCAGTATTCAATTTGCCTTCCTCATTATTTCTTGCACATGCTTTTTCTTGTGATCCATGTGTCCATTTAAATACTAATCTGCTTATGCATAATCCCCAAAATATGCTTAAAATATCAGAAATCCATGCAACAAAATCAAAATTTTGACTTGCATGGAATCTGTTTGGAAAAAGGCTGTGTAAGTACACTGTACACTATAGTTTTCAAAAAATATATGACCACAGAAAGATTTGGAGAGAAGACACAGTGTCAAAGTGTGTAGCTGAAATTGTATGATTAGAGAGATTTAAGAAAGCCAGGTTCTGCAAGTAACAGGAAGGAATAATCAGAATTGCAGTCTGCAACTTTGAACTCCAGGGTGGCTTTGAATGTTCCAGTCCCTGCTGCTGTGGAAGTGAAAGGTGACTTGAGACAGAATTGGAACTTGTTCCCATCTTATTGGCAAAATTATGATGTAGCCACAGGATTGAATGGAAAACCTGGAAGGAGAAAGGAGGACAAGAGTAGGTATAACAGCAACATTGTTAAGGAGTTCCAGATTTTGACAAAGTGACAATGAAGGAATTTCAATATAGTTTCGAATCAGGATGGTCTGTGGCTTGCAGGTGGTGGTGTTGCCATTTATCTGTTGCCTTTAAGCTTCTAGGTGATTGAGATTGCAGGTTTGGAAGCTGCTGTTGAAGGAGCCATGCTGAGTTGTTGTATCTTGTGGATGGTACACACCACTGTCAGTGTGTGTCGTTGGTGGAAGGAGAGAATATTGGAAGTGTTACATGTAATGCCAATCGACTATTGTTTAATCTTAGATGGTGTTGAGCTTCTTGAATGTTGTTGGACTGCAACTATCCAGGCAAGCGGACATTACTTTCTTGACGAATGCCTTGTAGATGGTGAACAGGTTTTGGGGAGCTAAGAGGCACTTTACTCACCACAGAATTTTCAGCCTCCAGCTGGCTCTTGTATTCACTGTATTTAAATGACTGCCCCAGTTCAGTTTCTGATCAATGCAAACCCCCAGGATGTTGGTAGTTGAAGGATCCAGCAATGATAATGCCATTGAATGTCAAGCTTCACAAGTTAGAAGTTAGAAGGCTAGTTAGAAGTTTAGAAGAATGCAAGGAGACCTATTTGAGGTACAGATGTAGAGGGGATGCTTTCTCATATGGGGTAATCAGAACAAGAAGTCATAGTTTTAGGATAAAGGGTAGCAGGCTTAAAATAGAGATGAAGAGAAAGTTCTTCACTCAAAGTGTCATGTGTTAGTAGAATCCATTACCCCAGAGTGCGGTAGATGTTGAGACATTGAGTAAATTTAAGGAAGAGGTAGTGAGATTTTTAACTATTAATGGGTTGAAAGGTTTTGGGAGTGTGCAGGAAAGTGGAGTTGAAACCAAGGTGAGATCAGTCATGGTCATATTAAATGGCAGAGGAAGCTCAAGGGGGTTAATTGCCTACTCCTGCTCCTGCTTCTTGTTCTTAGATTCTCTCTTGTTGCTAGTGGGGCAATTCACTGATGGCAATGCCATTGACTATCAAATGGTATTAGTTGAAGACTTTCAGTTGAAGACCGCTTCTGCCTGCTGATACCTGTGTGAAGTGCCCCAAAACCCAAGCATTGCCTGTGTTTTGCCACACTCTGACACGGGCTGCTTCTACATCCGAGGAGTTGCGAATGATGCCAAACACTGTGAAAACATCAGGCATCACACCCGGCTCTTAAGTCACAATAGAGGGAAACTCCTCAGAATCTTATAAAATGAAACAGAAAGTTGAAATAACATTTTCCAGTATAATGATCCATCCCAACCCCTGCAGTGCCAACCGGTGTCTAAAGGCCCCTTTCGTGCCGGTGAGCACTACATGCTCCTTTGCTTGAGACACTTGAGCTTGGATGTAATCACGAAACAGTGGCAGACAGTCAGGAACAACAACACCCTCCATGGCCTGCTGCTTGGACCTGTTAACGGCGGCTTTGGCCAGGCACGGGAGCATATCCAAAAGAAAAAGTCCCTTTGACCCATCCACGCCTCCCCGTCCAGGGTCTCAGTAAAGCAGGAGCGTGGTGCTAAAGTAGAACCAAAATTGCGAGGTGCTCCATGGTGGAGGAACTGAAGCTGGTTTGGCCCAAGGCACATGGCCCTGTGTATTCCACGTGGGAAAGTGTGATGCAGTCACGTGACTACGCGTGCACAGCGCGATTACGACACCTATAAAGCACCGCCCACTGACGTCATGCGGCTGTGTTTACTTCCGGTCAGTTTGGAAAAAAAACTCCGATGAAATGACAGATTTGAGTCCCCGATAAGCCTCCAGATTGATAGCATTTAGAACAAATCACAAGCTCCTGTAACAGCTGAGTAAAACTGAACGATCTGCCTACCTTTGAAGAAGAAGTCTTTTTAAAAAAAAATAAATATCTTGGAGGCCACGAGGAGGTGCAGCGCATATGGATTGGTTAATGGGGTAAGTGGTGGGATTCTTGACAGATTTACAGTATTTCATGGAAATTTTATGCGCAACTACAATTCGACAAAAGTAGATGCCTGGCGAGGGAGACAGTCCCGTTGGAGCGAGGATTTTTTTTTAATTTGATGACCCAGTGCGCATGCTATTGGGAAGCGGTGGGTTCTGGGTGCTGTAGTTTCCCGGCGGCCTTAGGGAGGGGCGAGTGCCGAGCAAAGAACGACACATCCCAGGGTGCACGGCGCAGGTCCCGCGGGAACCGTTAGCTCCTGGAAAGGCGTGAGGCCTTGGCGTTCGTGTGAACGGTGCCCCGCCCCCCCCGCGCTCCCCCCCCCCCCCCCCCCAACATCCTACTTAGTTTACGCCACTCCTACTCCTGATCGCATCTTTTCCCCACACGTTCCTCCACCCCCCGACAGCCCCCCCCCCCCCCCCCCTCTTCCCCCCCCCCCCCGCACTCTTGCCCCCCCTCCAAAGCCATGGACTGTTAAAACCCAGTGTCGTTATCTAGGCTCAGTATATGTGCATGGATTAGCCGAGCTGGCCCAGTTTTTGGTGATTTTCTTAATAACACAATTAATTTGGAACTGTTTTCTTTGTTGCCTGCATTCACCTCAGTAAAATTTACAATGATGGGGAAGTCTGAGACCAGTCACAGCTAATACAGTATCTTTGATTGCGGTTAAATCAACATTCAGTCAGTGAATATGATGCGTATACATGTTAGCATCATTGCTGATAGGAAACCAAGCCCAGAAGTGCATCTGGTCCAGAACATCAGAGTTCAGCATCTGTGTCAGGCAGCTTATAACTAATGCTGGAAGCCAAAGCATTGTTGATTTCAAACTGTAATTGTAGAAACAATCTGACCTGTGCTTGCGTGGTTGTGAAAGATTGGGTGAAATAATTGTTTCTGTATTTAAACTCTGATATGGGAGGCAAGAGGTGAAATATTTCCCAAAATTACATTACTTATTTCATAGTTTAATTCACCAATTGTGCTTTGTCAATTGTCTTTATGCATAACCATCACCTTGAGCATTTTTTTTAGTTATATAAAATGTCTTTTATCCCGAGTGTTCATCTTTTATGATCTTGCTCTATGGCTCAGACTCTTGTTGTGATGTCATCCATATGCAGTCATTCAGTACCTTACACATTGGCTTTGTGCTTTTCCACGAGTTGTTAGGGGGTGGGCTGGTCAGAGATCTCCAGTTATTGATTAGGATTTGAAATCCTGAATAATTTCTTTCCCTGAGTCACTTTCTGTATATAATTGGGCTGTCCATGGATTCCATGTTGACATACAGGAGAAACTTGTGTGCTCCAATGATCTTTCAAGCGATACTGTTAGAGCTCCTTGCTTCTGGTAAGGCCTCCCATGGCAGCAAGGTCAGGGGAGTCGTCAGATTAAAGTGTGGTCTGAAAGGTTCTCAATGGCAGAACAGTTGTAAGAAGATTTTGTGTCTCACCAGCAGCAAAAACAGAAGAGGTTTGTAATGATAAAGTCATCATTGTTTGTTATGTTGCCAAAACCTGACTGCTAAACCTGTCAGGATCATGTGGATAATGACTGTGTTGTATAACAGGAGTGATGGAATACTCCTGGATATCTCAGGAGTGACTTACATCAAAGCAATGACAGTTGTTGGATTTTGGAATGAGAATTTCCTTATTTGCAACTTATGTTATGCCTACTTTGTCTAATTAGAGTCACAGAGTTATAGAAACATGGAAGATAGGAGCAGGAGGAGGCCATTTGGCCCTTTGAGCCTGCTCTGCCATTCATCACGATCATGGCTGGTCATTCAACTCAATGGCCTAATTCTGCTTTCTCCCCATAACCTTTGATCCCATTTGCTGGTGGTGATTCTCAGTGCAAAATCTAGCTGCCTCTTGAATAATTTCAATGTTTTGGCATCAACTACTTCTTGTCGTGATGAAGGCCACAGGTTCATCATTCTTTGGGAGAAGAAATGTCTCCTCATCTCTGTCCCGAATCTTCAGACAGCAGCCACTGGTTCTGAACACATCTACCACTGGGAACATCCTCACTGCATCTACCCTGTCTAGTCATGTTAGAATTTTACAAGTCTTTATGAGATATCCCATCATCGTCTGAACTCCAGCCAAAACAATCCTAACCTAGTCCATCTCTCCTCATACGTCAGTACCACCATCCCTGGAATCAGCCTGGTAAACCTTCGCTGCATTCCTTCGAGAGCAAAAGCATCCTTCCTCAGAAAAGGAGACCAAAGCTGCACACGTTATCCTAGGTGTGGCCTCGCCAAGGCCATGTATAACTACAACAACACATCCGTGATCCTGTACTTGAAACCTCTCGCAATGAAGGCCAACATACCATGTGCCTTCTTTACCGCCTGCTGCATTTGCACGCTTACCTCCAGCGACTTGTGCACAAGGTCCCCAAGGTCCCGCTGCACTCTCCCCTCTCCCAATTTAAAGCTATTCAGGTAGTAATCTGCCTTCTTGCTTTTGCTTCCAAAGTGATTAACTTCATTTATCCAAATTATACTGCTATCTGCCATTGATCTGCCCATTCACCCAAATGTCCAGATCATGCAAACAGACTCTTCAGTGTAATTCATCCGCATTGACAAGACATCCCAATATGATCACATTTGCCAGCATTTGGCCCATATCCCTCTAAACTCTTCCTATTCATATACCCATCCAGATGCCTTTTAAATATTGTAATTGTACCAGCCTCCACCTCTTCCTCTGGCAACTCATTCCATACGTGCACCACTCTCTGCATGAAAAAGTTGCCCTTAGGTCCTTTTTAAGTCTTTCCCCTGTCACCATAAACCTTTGTCTTCTAGTTTTAGACTCCCCACACTAGGAAAAAGACCTTGGCTATTCACCTTATCCATTACCTTCATTATTTTATAAACTTCAATAAGACAACTCCTCAGTTTCTGACGCTCCAGAGGAGAAAGGCCCCAGCCCATTCAGCCTGTCCCTATAGCTCAAGCGCTCCAGTCCCAGCAACATACTTGTAAATCTTTTCTGCAGCTTCTCAAGTTTAACAACATTTCTTCCTATAGAAGGGTGACCAGAATTGTACACAGTATTCTAAAAGTGGCCTCACCAATGTCCTGTATGACCGCAACATGACTTCCCAACTTCTAAACTCAATGCATTGACCAATAAAGGGAAGCGTGCCAAATGCCGCCTTCACTACCCTTTCTACCTGCAACCCGACTTTCAAGGAATTATGAGCCTGCACCCCTAGATCTCTTTATTCAGCAACGTTCCCAAGGGCCCTACCATTTACTGTATAAGTCCTGCTCTGGTTTGCCTTACCAAAATGCAGCACCTCACGTTTAACTAAATTAACCTCTGTCTGCCACTCCTCGGCCCATCTAATCAAGGTCCCCTTGTACTCTGAGATAATCTTCTTCACTGTCCACTACGCCACCAATTTTGGTGTTATCTGTAAAACTTACTAACCATACCTCCTACATTCACATACAAATCATGTATGTAAATGACAAAAAGCAGTGGGACCTAGCACGGATCCTTGCGGTACAATACTGGTCATAGGCCTCCAGCCCATATAGCATCCCTCCATCACTATCATTTGTTTCCTACCTTGAAGTCAATTTTACATCCAATTGGCTAGCTTCCCTGAATCCCACATGATCTATCCTTACTAACCAGTCTACCATGCAGAACCTTGTCAAACACTTTACTGAAGTCTATATAGATAACGTCCACTGCTCTTCCTTCATAAATCTTCTTTGTCACCTCTTCAAAAAAAACTCGATCTAGTTAGCGAGACACATTTTTCCACGCACAAAGTCTTGCTGACTATCCCTAATCAGCCCTTACCTTTCCAAATACGTGTAAATCCTGTCTCTCAGAAGCTCCTCCAACAACATATCCACCACTGACATTAGACTCACCTGTCTATAGTTCCCTGGCTTTTACTTACAGCCTTTCTTAAATAATGGCACCACATTAGCCAACCTCCAGTCTTCTGGCACCTCACCTGGGTCTTTCAAGGATACAAATGCCTCAGCTAGGCCTCGGCAATCTCTTCCCTAGCTTTGCACAAAGTTCTGGGAAACACCTGATTAGGAACTGAGGATTTATCTACTTTTATGTGTTTAAAACCTGCAGCACCACCTCTTCTGTAATATGGATACTTTTCAAGGCATCATTATTTATTTCCCTAAGTTTTGTACCTTCCGTATCCTTCTCTTCAGTGAATACTGATGTGAAATACTCGTTCAGTATCTCATGCATCTCCTGCGGTTCCACACTTAGACGGCCTTGTTGATTTTTAAGGGGACCCTATTTTCTCCTTAGTTACTGTTTTGCTCTTAATGTATTTATAGAATCTTCTTGGATTCTCCTTAACTCTGTTTACTCAAGCTATTTTATTCCCCTTTTCACCCTCCTGATTTCCTTCTTAAATATACTCCAACTGCGTTATACTCTTCTAGGGATTCGCTTAATCCCAGCTATCTATACCTGGTAAATTCTTCCTTTCTCTTGACCAGAGCCTCAATTTCTGTAGTCATCCAGCATTCCCTACACCTACAAGCCTTGCTCTTCATTCTAACAAAAATTCTGTCTCTGAACTCTTGTTATCTCGTTCTTAAAGGCCTCTCACTTCCTAAATGTCCCTCTACCTGCAAACAGCCGCCCCCAAACAACTTTTGAAAGTTCCTGTCTAATACTGTCAATATTGGCTTTGCTGCAGTTTAGAATTTTAACTTGTTGAGCAGTTCTATCTTTTTTCATAAAAAATATTTTAAAACTAATAGAATTGTCATCACTTGCCCCAAAGTACTCTCCCATTGACACTTAAGTCACTTGCCCCATCTTATTTCCCAACTGGAGGTCAAATATTGTTCCTTCTGTATTAGGTTTATCCACCTATTGAATAAGAAAGTTTTCTTGTACATACTTAACAAATTACTCCCCATCCAAGCCCTTAACACTATGACAGTCCCAGTCTATATTTGAAA